ATGCCACTTGCTGAACCACTTCACTACTTCTGCCCGCTTCACGCCGAGCGATCAGCTAAATAACCTCAAGCTTCCCCTTCCCCCTTAACTCTAATCGGGTATTGTCGGGTCCCGAAGATCGAGAGGCCAGTGCTGCGTCGAATAATTATCACGCGCGATCGATTTTATCGATCAGGGGCAAAGTGCCCTGTTACACATCTATGGGCTTGAATCATATCTACTAGTTAATCTGACCAAAATGGCATGAGCAATAACATTCTATATATACAATAGGTCATGAAAACATCTTTACAATGATTATATCTTTTAAACTATTGAAGTTACGGTTTTTATGATTCTAGACAATTTTATAGAGTAATTATTGGACTACTCAAAAAAATAATTTTTTTATATTTTTAATTCCATTTGTTTATCGTTTTTTTTTATTTAGTCAAATTATTACACGATTAAGGGTACATTTCCTGGAGATTATTGTCACATTTATATTCACGCACACAACAAAAAAAATCTTACTTATGTACTCCTTTGAAATTCTTTATTTCCAAATTTTTCTGAAGTTTTTAGTTTTTAATTTTAAAATTTAAATTACTTTAAACTGCGTAGAAATATATTCTGTTCTATGCATATTTTTCAAAATTTTAACAATAGAATATATAATTATAAACATAAACGACAAACACAAGTAAGTATTTTTATTTTTTTTACGTAAGTCTGATTAAAAAATTGTAAAAAGTTCATTACATTCCTACGCAGTTTAAAGTAATTTAAATTTTAAAAACTAAAAACTTCAGAGAAATTTGGAAATAAAGAATTTCAAAGGAGTAGATAGGTAAGATTTTTCAAAAATGGACAAAAAAATTATTTTTTTTTAATTATATTAAAACCAATGCGATTCGGAGTATAATGTAGTAATCAGAAACTATTTTAAATGATGAAAAATTCCGGGCGTCCGCTGGGTTCGAACTCGACTCCTCCTGGTTATCGTCCTGCACGCTGCTCGCTGGTCTGAATCACATACTGTACACGACACAATCTATTGAATTTATTTAAATTCAAACCCAAAAAAGATCATATTAACACATAAATTTTATGAAATTTCTTAAAATCCTATAAAACTTAATAAAAGCAGTACATTTTTGATAGATTGTTTATTTTGACTATTGTAAATTTTTATATTATTTATTTTCCATAGAAAATGAATTGTATTTTTTAATTGAAGAATTGAAAGTTGAACATAATAAAATGATCAGTAATTTAAATACGCAAGCAGTAGTAAAACATATTATACCAGTTACAGAATCTGAAAATTATTTGTTAATAGAATTGAGAGAAATACAAAGTGTTTTTCAGTTATTAATAGTAGATTTAGAGATTTTGTATGTAAAAGACCAGACAATTCAAAGAGAATTTGGCGATTTTATTATAAAATTGGATTTAAATCCCTACTAATATTATAAATGTGAATGTAAGTTTGTTTGTTACGCTTCCACGCAAAAAACTACTTAACCGATCATCATGAAACTTTGTACACACATTCTTGGAAGTATTAGAAGTAACATAGGATACTCGTTATTAAAGAAAAAAATTTATTTTTTACAAAAGAAAAAAAAATTGTTTGTCAAAAAATTTAAATCACATTGATTCAGTTCTATTGGAATGTAATGATCTTTGATATTTATCGAAGGACTTCAACGCGAACGAAGCAGCGGGTAAATGCTAGTTAAAAATAAAATCATTGTTTATAAAAAAGTAATCTTTGTCATCACTTTTTTCAACTTTGAAGATTTAGAACATCATACATAAATATGTAAATATATAAATTTTTAAAATCACACACACACACACACAGAGACAGACATACAGACGGTTTACTGATTTTTGGGCCCAAGACAATTTATCCCCGACAAATCATCCTCACGACAATGAGTCCCCACGATAATCGATACAATAACAATTAATACCCGACAATTCATCCTTTATACATTAAATACGGTTTTAGTTTACAAGATAAATAATAAACAAGAATCCTACAGTGTATTTACTACAATTAAATCTAAAAACATATATATTTAAACGAACACATTAGACCAACACATATGCTTGTGACCGTGTTGTGCCCTTTTAACATGGTTTTTGTATGTATTTATTCGACATTAAACCAACACAAACGCGGATAATCGTGTTGCGCCTTTTTAACATGGTTTGAATGTGTGTTTACTCAGGGTGTCACGTTAAATGATCCCCGGAATTTAATACCGCGACAACTAATACCTGTAATTTGATCCCAGCGTCAATCGATCCCACTGATCTTGCTGACAAATGATCCCGCCGACAAATGATCCTATCGACAAATGATCCTACCTTCACGGTTTTGGAAATGCCGTAAAGATTCGGTATTTATACGATATAAATGCTGTATTTTTACCGCAATACTTCAGTTATTTTAGCCAGTTTTTTTGTCGAATTATAACGAAAAAATTACGAAATAAATTCAGAGTATTTACGGCAATACAATAGAAAAATTACGGTATATAAACAGCATTTAAACCGTAAATGTACCGCATATTTACTGTATATCTGCGGCACTATTACAGCAAAAAACCGGAAAAGAAGATCCCTACTTTCTATTACCGGCAAAATACCAAAAATATGCTGCTTTACTATTTTTCAATAGCTTAAAATTTTTCTTTATAATATTATAAATTATTAGGAATCATTTTTAAGAGGTTGATAAATTAATTTCTCTGTTATTATTATTATTATTATTATCATTTTTTTTAGTCCAGACCGGGATTTGAACCCGGATCATATAGTTACGCGCCGAAGGCTCTACCAGTTGAGCTATCAGAGACACTATCCGTATCTATTTACTCAGTCACCTAATAAGATTCACCGAGTAATAAACACAACCGTCCATCTTACGGTAGAAAGCATTATATCTTTAATTATATCAGTATAAACGCGGCAAAATTGCAGTATATCTTTGGTATTTTTACCGTAGAAAAACGATTTTATTATTGTAAAATTATAGTTAATACATAGATTTTTTACGGTAAACGTTCTAGAGTTTTACGGTAATTTTATCGTATTATTTTTGAACTTTGCAGCAAAAGTAAGGTAGAAATGCTGTATAACTATAGTAAAAAAACTAGCCAAAATGACCACAGAAACACCGTATTATTTCAAAATTATAACGGTAAACTTATGGTAAACGCATTAATACCGGAAATTTACGGTATTTCAAAAACCGCGAGGGCACCTAGAAATGATCCTACCGACAAATGATCCCAAGGTTTAGCGGGGTCCAGGGCGAAGCCCCGGTCGGGGTTGGAGGGCGAAGCCCACCATTCAAAAAAGTTATCAAGGTTCGAGGCGAAGCCTCAGAGGGGCTCGGGGCGGAGCCCCGGTGGGGGTTGGGGGGCGAAGCCCACCATTCAAAAAAGTTATCAAGGTTCGAGGCGAAGCCTCAGAGGGGCCCGGGGCGGAGCCCCGGTGGGGGTTGGGGGGCGACGCCCCCCATTTGAAAAGAAATGAATTATTATTCTATTCTACATCTAGTACAACTACACACAACATCCTTGATAAAAGGGCACAACACGGTAACAAGCTTATGTGTTGGTCTACTTTCGAATAAACACACACATCATCCTTGATAAAAGGGCACAACACGGTAACAAAGTTATGTGTTAGTCTAATGTCGAATAACACATATTCCTTTGACCGTGTTGTGCCCTTTTATCATGGTTTTTGTGTATGATCAACACATAAGCTATAAATATTAAGTTTCAATTTTTTCAATTCTACAGCATATTTACTACAATTAAATCAAAAAATATAAATGATAATAATACTAAATTTTAACAATGAATAACAACACTTCTGATCTAAATCAATTATAAATCTATTGAATTTTATCAACATATTACAACACACAGTGTAAATTTATGAATAACAGTCATTACTAATATTACAAATAATAAACAAATTATAATATCGTAGCGCGAATAATTCATCCTGGGCCCAATAATCAATAGTGATTTGTCGCTGAGATGAATTGTCGGGGATGAATTTTCGGTGACGCGACCAGTGATCCGACGACATTTCATCCGTGACTAGGTCGCTGATTTATCAATGCGACAAATTTAACTACAAATTAATATTTGTTATTGCCGTAAGATGGACGGTGGTGTTTACTCATGTCAGGTGTTAATATGTGACTGAATAGTAGTTACGGACAAGGTCTCGGATAGCTTAACTGGTAGAGCCTTTGGCGCGTAACCGAACGATCGGGGTTCGATTCCCGGTCCTGGCTGTCCGAATTATATTTTTTCGGTCACAAAAACAATTCCTACTGAGTAAAAATAGGTCCCCCCTTTCCCTTAATCCTTTATTCACCCAGTTCCCGAATTTGTCACTGACATTATGACGCTGACATAGCATCGCGGATTAAATGTCGTCAGATCAATGGTCGCGTAACCGAATTTTCAGGGTATGAATTGTCGAAGGAATGATTTTTCGGGGTTAAATCGCGGAAACACTCGGGGAAGCTTTCTAGGACCTCAAAACGTGAGCATCCGTTGGAAACTCGATTTTCGAAAAACGGAGTAAAACCAATACTTTCCCAACTGTTGAAAATTTTCAATTGTCTTAGCGGGAAGTTAAAAATTTGAATAAAAATTGACCTTGAACATAATCTTTAAAACCTTTTTCTATATTTTCGTTTCAAGGAGCTTCGCTCAGTTTGAATCTTTAAAAATTTGAAGTAGAAATTTTCGTATATAAATGTATCTGGAAATGTTTTTTTTTTTTTTTTAAAGCCTAACTACTGTACCGATTAATTTTCAAATCCCTTCAGCTTTATACGAAAAAAATATAAGCCGCACTAAAATCGTTCGAGATTTATACATGGTTGTCGAAATATATTATACCTTTATCGGAATTGGTTGATCTCAGAATAATACTTCACAGATGGACTAGCATTACAAAACTATATTAAATCATCACTTTTTTTTGTTAATATCGTAAGAAGTTGCGTCTAAACTCAACTGTGAATATTTCCAACACGAACAAAAAAGTTTTCCTATCAAAAAAATTTCTGCATCAAATAAAAATTTTGATTTCTAAATAAGTATGAAGAGGCATTTCTGTAGAATAAAGAACAAATTATTTTGATACATGCATACTGTTGATTTTTGGGTGATTATTATTATCACCTGCATTAGGATGTTTTAAGAGAGACTTGCTTCCTATGAAAGCTGAGCTCTGAATAGAAATGTTACTTGAAATAGATGTGGTATCAATAATTTGTTGCCCAACTATCCTTGTTGTTCCTGCATTAGTGATTATGTTACTTTGATGGTACTGATCTTGTGATTGCGTTGGTTGAACATAAGATTGCAACTCAGTGGATGCTTGACGAGATGAAGAACCACCTAAAGCAATGCGAATTTGATCATTTAAATCATCATATGCACTCTTGGTGACATTATTAGTTGAATTGATTTGGTTGGTCGATCCTCCAGTGACAGTTGGTAATTCAGAACTTGGTATAATATTTGTACTCGCCGATGGAAGTGGCGGTCGTGGTGGTGGAGTAGCGGAAACATTAGAAAAATTGATCTCACTTGTTTGTTTCCTTTTACTTGCATCATCTAACATAGTAGAACCAATGACACTACTGTGATTATTTTCCGTAGCTGTAATTATAGAGTCACCGTTAAGAAATCGGTCACTAGCATAAAATACGGCCTCTTTTTTGAGGTGTACGTCATTACCACTGTTTTCGGTTATATTGTGTAGATTAAATAAATCAGAATTTGCAGTAGTCCCAGTTTGAGATGGGAGGGTAGAAAAGTTCGCCATAAAAGGGTTTGGTATAGATCCAGCTAAATCTTGGATGGCAGCTTGCGCAAAAAGTTACAGTAAACAATTATATAAACTTATTTCGAAGACATTTAATTTGTTATTTTCTTTAAATCTTTTATTGAATATGCCAACAGCAACGCTGCATGAGGAATAAAATGCATTTAAAGACGATTTTTTCTTTTCATTAATGAAGTTATTGATGAATTTATTATATCAAAAAAGGACAGAGACGGAGTTTTAGCATCTTTTTTATACTTACTTGTTTGCTGATCATGATTCTCAAACGCCGTTGAAAAATTGTTATCTGTAACAAATTTATTACTTGCTGGAAGAACTGGTACCATGAAACCTACAAAATTTAATGAAATTACATGCATATGATAAAGCTATAAAAATAATATTTCTAATGAAATGAGAAAAATTAACATAAACAAAAAATTAAACTTTGGTTTATAAAATTTACCATTGATTATCCATTTATTGGGTGAAATATTACTTGATACAACGGGTGCTGCCTCTGTTGAAGCGAACATATCTGCAAATGGATTCCCAGCGAGTTGAAGTAAATCATCCGAAGCCTTTTGAACCTGACAATTGATATAATTTAAATCGATAATCTTTACTAACTAATGAATATTAAAAAAAAATTGGTTATCTGTAAAGTCGGTTTACGGACGATAGTTTCACGTGATAACGTCATAAAGAAACATTGATGAAAAATTGCATACTTTTATGGATTGAATTGAATTATTATCACTGAATTATCATTATTTTGTATTTAAAAATTTAAAAATTTTGAATATTTAAAAATTATTTTAACAAAAAAAAGGACTTATTGATAAATTGTTTATCAAAAATTGATACAATAATTTGATAATTGATATGATTATTATTATTTATAATTAATATTAATTATTTTATAAATTTATCATTTTTTATTATTTTATTAATTTATCGTTTACAATTATTATTAATTTATTTATTTATAATTGATATTCTTTATTAACAATTATTAATATTATCAACAATAATAATCTGATATAATTGATATAATTTGTTTAAATATAATCACGAACAATTAGTTATAGAACAATATTCTGACTGCTAGCTCTGACATTACACGAAAAGAGAGATATGTGTCATAAGGCAATGCTTGGGCCTCTCTACAACAATAATAATCTGATATAATTGATATAATTTGTTTAAATATAATCACGAACAATTAGTTATAGAACAATATTCTGACTGCTAGCTCTGACATTACACGAAAAGAGAGATATGTGTCATAAGGCAATGCTTGGGCCTCTCTATCGTTTGTTTGATCGTGCCTCTCTATCGCTTGTTGCGCGCTCTCACTTGCACTCACAAGCTCAGGCGGAACGCTCAGGAGGAACACAAAAGCGGAATGGTCTGTCGGAACGCGACATTTTTTCGTGAGCGCTGTCGGTGTTCATCAATTTATAAGACGTTATCACGTCAAAAATTTTTTACTTTCAAATTTATAGAAAAATTTATTAGATTTACAACCATGAAATTAGATATTCAGTGTTACGTCCTAGTGGACCATATTTTTTGCGATTCTTATTTCGAAACAGTAGAATTATATTTGATTGAAGTAGAATTATAAAAAAAAAATATGACGTATATTTACATTAATTTATCGATATCTCTGGAAAATATACGGGTTACGGAATTTATTTTTTAACGTGATTCGTTCGCGAGAAGTTTTTTTAGTTAGTATATTTCAATAGCGAAAAATCATTTTGTCCGTAGATATCGTAGAAATCTAGCTACGGAATTTTACTCAATGAGGTCGATTTAAAAAAATATTGCTATTTTTTGTCCCAGGCTATAATATAAAATTGATGATTGAACTGAAGTTAGTTTAGTATCGAAAATCTTGAAAGAATGGTTACTGATTCCTTATTGGCTTCGATTAAAACGCGCATATGCGCGCAATTTGAATTCCTAGTTTAGATATTACAAAATAGTTTTAGTCCCAAAGTTTATATATAGATGGTGGTTCGGCTGCGCTGTTTAAGGAGGTATGGGAGTTAAATCGAAATAATGAAATCAATTTCAAATTTTTATGATCGATAGAAATATATTATTATTATATCGTTTTTACTTGTATACCTATTTTGGTTTTTACAAGACTGTAACCCATATTCTCCACATTTTTGCTATTACCACAGTAATACCACTCAAGTGCCTCTTTCGTTATCATATGACATTCATAATGTTATACCTGGCTTTCGCCCCTTTAACTAACACTTATTTTTTCTTTGCGTTCAACATATTCTTTCCACTTTATAATCCACTGTGCTGCGACTGTGGTCGACTTACGTGTTATAATCAGTACCTGCAATTGCATTACGACCTTAAGTAGCATGGAGTAATTCTATAATGACATTTTTACTTCCATAACTACACGGGGAAACCACAGAAAACCCGGTCGGTACAGAGGCTGACAACGTAACGCACATATTCTTTTTATTTTATAATCACTGAAAATAGTGGTGCGTGCTGGAATCGAACCCGGGTCCTACTCTTTCGAAATGTAGGCACCGAGCCGATTAGGCTATTGCCAGCCTCTCGATAGAAATATATTTAATACGTGTTGTGTTAAAATTTCAGAGACCTAGGGTTCATAGTTTATTTATAAAACAAGATTACAAACAGGTCATTTAACATTGTAATGAGATACCAAATCTCACACCTACTCTTGTTTTAATAAATTTCATGATGAAAAAATAATGAGAAAGTTTTGAAAAACTCATTGTAAAAAGAAAAAAAATTTGCAAAAATTATTGAAAACATAAAATGAAGTTGAGGGTACATAGTTATAAAAATAATTCAGTTTGAAAAATCTAAATTAAAAAAAAATAGTCAGCCATAGCAAATGTGGGTTATGTTGACAGCAACACCGCAAATGGTGGGTAACGCAGGAAATTTAAGGCTTCAATAAAATAGGCTAAAAGAAATATCAAATAGATTAAGAAAAGTATTATAAAATTTTTAATTTTTATCGTAATAAAAAGTTACTATTTATTATAAAACATAACATAATTAAATAATATATATTTTAGTGCTTTAATATTTTAATATTTTAAATAGCATTACTTGTAAACATAATACACACGTACACATCACAATCACGAATAGAGCAGTCAACGCATGCGCAACCGCAATAAAATTGATTGCGTTGCAAATCTTTTTAAAAAATATTAAAAACTAAAAAACTTATTATTTTATTCAAATTTAAAATAAATTATCAATTATTTGATAATAATATAGTTATTTAATGCATAAAAGATTATTATGGTAAGCTAAATGTCATTAAATCACTAGTCAAAACTTGTTAAGTTTTCTGAAAGTACAGTCTCGAACAAAATTAATCCTTCTCAAGTCAAGTACTATAGTATAGCTATATATATGCATTGTAAGATAAAACTCAGTGAACGGACTGTACGTCCTATACTTCCTCCAACGGTGCAAACATCGCGCGTCTCTCACATGTAGGGGAGGAAGGGGTCAATTAAACCAAAAAAAGTTTAACAGTTTTTTATTATTCGAATTAAAACTGAAAAAAAATTTCTCGAGCTCGAAGAGCTCAAAAAACGTAATAAATGCAGTTTTGTGTGCATAAGTATGAAATGAGCGGGAAGTTGCAGAGATGGCCTTTAGGGTCAACCGTTTTCCTAATTTTTAACTTCCCGCTAAGAAAATTGAAAATTTTCAAAAGTCGGGAAGTTATTGTTTTTACTCGTTTTTCGAAAATCGTGTTTTCATCAGATCTCGAATCTCGACGTTTGAGGTCCTAGGAAGCTTCCGTGACTATTCCTGCGATGGTGTCCGTGCGGCTGTATGTATGTATGTGTGCGTGTGTGTGTGTGTGTGTGTGTGTGTTTTTTTTTTT